CTAGGTTTTCTAGAAACACAGTCCTGAAGACCGGGTCAGTAGGTTGGTAGGGTATCCCAAAACGCTGACCCCAAAGTCGTAGAATTTCTTTTGCTTTGCAGACAGGCAGGGTTTTTTTGTTTGCTTGTTTGCTGGTTTGAATGCATTGATTAGAATAAATCAATAAAGTGTTTGTTGTGGGTAACGGATCACTCTGCGCTTAGTTCAGCAGCAGTTTTGTGCAAGCGAGGCCCCTTCCGTATGAGCAAAGCTCCCATGTACAGTATGGGAGACCTAGGCTCTCAGGCCACACGTTTCAGAATCAGACGAGCTGAAGTTGGTAGTTTCTAAAGGGCTTTGCAAAGACCAAGACTGAAATATTTATTTTAAATCCTTAAAGAAAACACTTCGTCGAGATTTAAAAATTAATTCTAAATAGTATTCCATAACAATTGACCAAGCTAGGGTAAATAGAAATAAATGAACCCTCGATTACTTATTTTGTATTCAAGTAGTTTCTATAAATTAACAAGAAAAACTCAACTTTCTGGAAGCATCAAATAAACTTACTTTATTACTACACCAGAATTTTGTTGTTCAAACTGAAATGTTAGCCTTCTGCATTTTAAATAGGTCTTACGCTTCCTCGTGGCGTAAGAATAACACATCCTGTGGTAGTGAACTTTGTTTCATTGAAGAAATAATTATTATAGGACTTGTTTTCCTGATTCTGGTTTCTTAAACAGAGCCTGATTTATTTTTCCCTGAGAAGTTTTTTTTTTAATGCAATTTTTTAAAAGCCAGGTAAAAAACGCCTAACTTGAAATTTACCGTGTTTTAACTATTTTTAAGTGCGCAGTTCAGTATTGCAAAACACATTCACATTGTTGTAAAACAGATCTCCAGAACTTTTCATCTTGCAAAAGTGAAACTCTGTCCATCAAAGAGCCTCTCTTTTTCCTCTCCCCTCCAGCACCTGGTAACTGCTGTTCTAATTTTTGTTTCTATAAATTTGATAGTTTTAGATCTCTGATAATCAGATAAATATCCAAAATATATAAAGAGTTCCTACAACTCAACAACAATAAAAGATTACATAACCTGATTATCAAATGGGCAAAGGACTTGAACTGATAACAGGAGTTGTAGTTTTAATTTGTATGCCTAGTGGGTTATTATGAAGTTTTAACCCAGGGTCTGTCCTCTGTATGCAGAAGGTCCTCATTCACAACTAGAATGAATGTTTGCTGAGTTGAACTTTTAAAGAAACAGGTTAGTACTCCCTAAGTGGTATTTATTTAACCGGCACATGCCTGGTAGGCAACTGATGAGCACTTCCTGAATAAATTAACCAATTTAGCTTATTTGCTCTTGGTGTGTTCTGTGTGGCACGCTGTGTTCTGTGAACCCTTGGAATTGTGATTACTCTTTGTACCAGAGCAGTGAAGAAATCCGGGCTAGCAGAATACATGTACTCTTCTTTCTTGGCTGCTGCAAGTCATACAACTTTTGTGATCTGTGCCTTCTCATTTGTGAAATAAGGGAGTTGAGCAAGAATATCATTACAACTCTTATTTCTACATTTTAAAAGGTTTAGTAGCTAACTCAATTTCTGATGGAATTTGAGTGATTGATGGACTGTTAGGTATTGCTAGCCCATTATGTGGGTTTCAAGACTTATGAATCTATTTTATTCATTTATCTAATATAGCAAATCCAAGACTCAGAACTATGTACAATCTTCAATTCCTAGAGCTCCATCCAAACTGTTAAAAACACTCGTAACAATTAAGGAAGTTGAATTTTGTTAATATCCAATATTGTTGATAAAGGATCAAAAAACTACTTAAGATATACACCAAGCATCAGAATAAGATGCTTCTTCACGTGGCATTTGATTGGAAGTTATATTGTTAAGTGAAAATACTACCTTTTAATTTTGTAGTTAAACTAATTTAGTTTTTACCCAGTAAATTATTTCTAAAACATTGGTTCACAGCATGTTTCTAGATTCTCCAGGCTATTAATTCTGTTTAGGTCTTTGAATTTCTGAAAATGTTTACTGCCATTTCTAGGCAAGTAAGTGTGAAGCTTATGGACTCCTGATCCTTTAGTGTGTAGGTTATAGGTAATGATTACAGCCATAAAAGTAGTTTCTGTATCCAATCCAAGGTACCTTTCATAGCATAGAGTGCCTCTGGAAGGAGGACTTCATCATTTTCAGATTTGCTTGGTAAACATACACAGAGCGGATACTATTAGTCTAAGCATTAGAAATACTGTTAAATTTAACTTCACAAATGTATCTAATAGCATAGAGCCCGGTGATGTGCTCATACGGATCAAAGGTGTGTGCAAGACAAAGGTAGAGAAGCAGGAAAAGATAGGGAAGGATACTTTCCTGGCATCCTTGCTCAGCAAAAACAAAACTAATTTAAGGTCTGAGCACACCACCATTATGGGACGGTTCTTACTATTTTTGAATATGTGCTTTTCTTTGACCATTCAGGTGTTAGTGATGACTTGGCTTAATAAATGACCAAACAAAAATTCAGTTAGAAAGCCTTAACACAATAAGTCAGGTCATGTGGGTGTTTCCAATACCTCTAAATCATGTTATTTATGGCTCCAACTGTTTTTTTTAGGGAACCCAGAGATATATTCACCTGGAAAAAGGTATTTTTACCCAAGTCAATAGAAGATAGTCCAGTTGCTACAGTAGTTTCTCTTTCTCTTATCTTGCTTTTATTCTGCAGGGCAAGAGTAAAACGAGAAGAAAATGATAAGTGTCATTTGTGCTGATTCATGATCAAGAGAACACAAACTGTCCCAGTGAACCAAAAGGGGAGACTGACTCAACTCTGGAAATAGAAGATAAAAGCCACAGTATCCCGATGTTTTGGGAGGGGGGAAACAATTCTTGGAGAAAGACTTAAAATAGCTTTTAGAAACCTTCCATTAATTCTATGAAATGGGAAGCATGTCAGGGATGAGATTTGTCCACAAAAAAGTTGGGCAAGTCTTCTGTCCCAGGGTCAGTTTCATCACCATGAGGTCATCGAACTGGGTGAGCTTTACGGATCATTCTGCCCTCAAGACTCCTGTGATGTGTGGTCAAGGTCTACACCAGGTTACCTTGATCTAGCTCTTCAGGTCATTTTCACCTTCACATACTGATTCATCTGCAAGGTGACATTTAGTGTGAATTTTAATCAGAACATAAGATGCTAGCATGGACTTTACTTCAGTAGCCTAAATTGAAAACAAAAAAAGTATGATAGGTAAATGTAGGGCTGATTAATAGTTGTTGACCTCCAGGATGCAGAATGTGGTATTTTAGAAAGTAGAACTTCCTCTCTGAAATTTAAGAAGAAAACTTTTTAACATCAAGCACAAATAGGATGAAGGTGAAAGCATTAAAATTTTCCACTCAGGGAGGAATAAAGCGTGATGATTTATCTCCTGCCATAACAGGCATAGTATACCAAAATTTTGTAATTTGGAGTAGGCCAAAGTTACTGTGTTAAGGATGATGGATAAGTAAAGAAAAAAGCTTTGGCTCTGTCTTAAACTCTTTTTTAGGAAGATATTCTTTTCTTAAACATCAAGAAACAAGATCAAGGACTAGATATAGGTAACAAAAGCACAATTTAAGTATTCAGAAGAGTATTGAGAAAAAAGCAGAATACAAGGGGTGAAATTCATTATGAAAAGGCATAGGCTTGATAATAAGTGAGGGAGAAGTATGATCTCTAAAGAATTAAAAACTTTAAATTGCACAAAAAATAATATTGCTCAAACCAAAGAACTAAAAGATTAATTATAAGTAAATACAAATGAAACAAGAAGTGTTGTCTTTATTCTTATGTATCTGTTGCCCCCAGTAAGGCAATAATTCAACAACAAATAACTTAGAATAGTCAGCACCTAATAGTCTTGGTAAATAGAGCAGGTCAATAAATATGTATTGATTGGTTGATTGCATAAGAAATGCTTGCAGTTATTTTAGGAAAATCAAAGTCACTTGGGAAGTTAGGTATGTAATTTCTTAAACTAAGCAAGTATAAATTTCCTTTAAAAATAATAAAAAAGAAAACCTTTTCAAATAGTTCCCTATGAGACATAGGCAATAATATATTATAAAAATTTCATAAAGTGATGTTTATATACAGCAAAACTGAAATTGGAAATAGATAAAATATAGAAGTATGAATATGTCTCCGTATAAAGAAATTATATTTTGCCTTATTGAGGCTTTTTGACAGGTGGCTGAAATAGGGGAAATTCTGTGTGAACAATTTATCAAAAATTGCAATATTTTCTTCTAAACCAATATTTGGAGAAACCAAAATATTTATTTTTCTCAAAGTGGTCTCAGTTTTTTGTATGGCCAAAGATTTCAAGGCTCTAAGTTGGAATAACATCAATTTTAAAGGGCCTGACTTGGACCTTTCCCTACTTTAAGTGTCAACATTGTCATGTCAAGGGATGTGATGATAATAGTCCCTTCCTTGCCAGATATTAATTATTTCACCATGCGTGGTCTGGCTAGTCAGTATGGACGCTGTGT